TTTGTAAGAAATTTGTAAGAAAAGAGAAAGACTGCATTAAAAGTAGTTTGATTCAGTCATCCCAGGATACACAGCCCTGACTGTACAGGAGGTGATCAGGGCTGCAGATGACAGGGGCACTTGTGGTAACTTGAGTTGGCAGAAGTCAAAGGCAGACTGGCAGCCATCTTCACCAACAACAAGGTCTGGATCAGGGATGGCAATTATGTGGCCCTTTAAATCAGTGGTTCTCATCCGTGGGTCCCCAGGTGTTTTGACCTACAACTCTCAGAAATCCTGGCCAGTTTACTAGCTATTGGGATTTCTGGGAGTTGAAAGCCCAAAACATCTGGGGACCCACAGGTTGAGAACCTCTGATTGGACTGTAATTCTGACCACCCATTATGCTGGCTAAGGCATATTCCCCATTGATTGTTTGGTGGAGTGAGTGTCAAATTAAGATGCAGAGTGCAATTAGATATATGCCCAACTCTGACATGAATTGATGGTGACTGTAGAGCTTTGAACTGGATTATATGAGCCTACACTGCCATGTGATCCAGTTCAAAGCCAATAATCTGGATTTTATATGGCAGTGTAGAAGGGGTCTAAATGAACAGCATCAGAAAAATTGTAGAGCTATCCAAACAAGTCTGAGATAAAGTTTTGCAGAAACACCATCCAGGTCATAAAAATCTCTAGATTATGAACATTTCATGGGGCACTTTGAAATCTATTATTACGAAACAGAAAGAATATTCATTGACTGGTAAGAAAGAATGTTAGGGAACCAACCAAGAAGCATATTGTGACTCAGTCTGCCAGAGAAATTGGCAGCTGAGATAGGACAACGTATCCATGGAATAACTATACTCCATATCATCAACAAAATTTGGTTTTAGGGAAGAGTGGTGAAAAGAAAGCCATTGCTGAAACAAAACCATATCAAATAAACAGCAAAAGTAACCCTGAAATAGTAAATACACGTAATATTTTAGAATAATCTAGTAAATACACAGAATTCAAAGCATTTGAGAATCTGGCAAAGATTTTAAAGTTGCTGTTCACTGAACAGAGCTGGAACAATTTTGCCAAGAACAGCAGGCAAAGCTTTAGCCAAGAAGACTGGCAGCTGTAACTGTTTTCAAAGGTGCCTCTACCAAGGACTGACTCGGGGCATATACTCCTTGCACAACTAACATATTTACATCAAGTACCAAAATTAAATTCAGATCCAGGTTGTAACATAACAAAATACAGTAGATTCAAAAGGAGTAAATACTTTGCAAGGCAGAGGTTAGAAGTATAATCTCTGATAATGCTTTATTTTTTAATATTAAAACAAGTACAGGCTGTATGTATGTAAGTAGGAGCAAGTCTTGTTGAATTCAGTAGCACTTAATTCTGAGTAGACGTGATATGAAGCATTGTTCTGTAATATTTACTGCAAAGTTCCCTACCAACTGGCAGGCATTTTTTAAAATTTAAGATATGTAAACATACATAGGATCAGGCTTCACGTGATATTTTTGAAATGCACTGTCAAACTCATGGTATATGATGTATTTCTTTTAAAGCCTGAAAACTATTTTTAGGTATGGGAGAAAGTAACTGCTCTTGGAGCAGAAAACCTATGCTACACAGAGCAACCATGCTGGCCGCGGCAGCGGTTTATAGGGGTAAGTGAGATTTCCAGTGAAACTGAGAGATTTTGACTATATCAGAATGTTACTTTCCACAGGGACATGTCTTAAGTCATCAGATGTTCATTAGAGAGTTGAATTTTGAATTCTGGTTGATTATGAGTATTTTTGTGGCATATAGCTTGGTTTCATCAATCTTGGAAAAAAATATGGCAGATTACAGATATCTTATTTCTCCTTTTTCCTCTTCTTTTCCCCAAGACATAGCATCCAAGTATTGAAGTGTACTCTGCTGCTAATGTCAGGAAAGAGTAGGAGCCTAAATTTACTTCCGTAAACTGAGTAAACATCACAGTGATAAGCACATTGCTGTTCCGTTTTCTTCTATGGCTTTCAGCAGCAGCAGCTATAGGCTACCACTATTGCTAGGGGAATGCAGCAGCAGCATACTGGTCCACAAATATTCTTTCTCCTGCCCTTGAAGAATCTGAAAGACAGACATCTCAGTAGAAATGGATACTTGCAGTTGGCTACCTGGGTGTCTGTCTAGGGGTATCTGCTGCCCATCACTGGAAATGGCTAATAAAGCATCAAAATTGCACAATCCAGTGCCATTTTTTCAATATCTGGACACGGATAACAGATAAGATTGTCTGTTTTGGCTATTATTTATTTATTTATTTATTTGCCCGCCTCTCCTTGCGGCTTGAGGTGCATACAACGTAGTTAAATCAGCAAAGTAGAACAAAGCACCATTAAAATACATATAACAAATACACACAGGTAAAATGCATCTTAAAATTAACAAATTAAAATTGACTGGGTAGGCCTGCCGGAAGAAATAGATCGTTAGTTGCATCTTATATTCTGACAGCTGATTTCACTGTTGGATCTCTTCCTGCAGGTCATTCCACTAAGTAGTCCATCTTCCTTTTTGGACTTAAGCTAAATATTCTTGGTTGCATCAGGGGAAACTTGCACATAACACATCTTTTGTTGTTCTTCCCATTCCACATTAAAGCCATATTCAAATGTCACTCCTGTGGAGCAGTGAGCTTCTGGAATGGCATAAAAGGCTACAGTTGGATTGGAAAATCAGAGGAATTTGGTAGTGCTGCTGTTTGTAAAAAGACATTATTTACAATTCATTCAAAGTATAAGTGGATTCAAGCCATGGAATTTATAATTTGTTGAACTTAATCTTTGGGTTCTACAAATGTTTTGGATCAACCCCCAAGAACTCTAGCTATTGACCAAGATGAATAGATTCATGGAGACTGTAATCCAGGATATCTGAAGAGGATCAATATCTTAAATATTTCTCTCTCCCCATAGAAATGTATGGAAACAAAGATGGAACAGTACCAGCAACGTTCGAGATCTACTACATGATCGGTTGGAAATTCCATGAGTCTCAGGTAATGTGCATTACTTCCAAGATGCATTGTATATCTAAAATGCATATACTACATATTGTTTTTCAAGAAAATTATTGTAATCATTCTTACTCAATTGAAGCCCGAATTTGCATACAAAAATTAATAGTTTCTATCTCATTTTCAGGCAAAACCAGCACAAAGAGGATCTGCAAAAATGTCATTTGGCGATTTGAGGAAAATAAATGAATTTATTCCAGAAGGGGGGAAACTTTAATATACATATAATGGTGGCAGTGAAACTGGACTTGCTTTGTGGATATTGATTAATAAGGGAAAACTATGTCACTATGTATTTCTGAACATATTTATCTCAGTGCCTGGACAAATTGTAATATATTCTTCTTTCACTGGATTCGCTTATTTGTAAATATAAAATAGTGTTTTTACTGTGTGAAACTGAATAAAATTATGTTTAGATTTTAGTTGTCTGAATATATTATCATTAAAGCAAGAGGGCCATCTGTCTAACAAGAAATGCAAAAAAGGAAATGCAAACATTTTATAGGACTTCCGTTACCCGAGTCGCTGTATAACAATGTGATTGTTTTTCATTGCACTGTACTCTTTAGTCTTCCTGATAATCTAATATGATTGCTTGAAAGAATAGGCCATTAAAGAATGACTTAAAACAACTTACCTTCATTGAAATGCACTGCATGGAAGTTGCTATGACCTATCTGCAGCCCTATACATTTTCATAACGAAGTGAAGACATGAATTCACCATGGACAAAATTAAAGAGAGCTCATATCTAGAATCTTAAATGTAACATCTTTGTATTCCCTAATTATTGATTATATTTACATTCCTTTGTCCTCCCATGAGGTCATGAGGCATATGTGCATCTCCAATTCACCACTTTAGCCTTACAACACTCCTATGACATATATTCGATGGAGAGTTAATGAACCCAAAGCCACCTGTAACTTTGTGGAAATGTAAACCTGGATAAGAAAAAGGGACACCTATTAAATTGAATTCTGCAAGGCCACCTTTGGTGACACATTGGGAGTTCTTCAGGATAAACTGTCCTGAGTTGTTTATTTTATGATTGTTCTGTATTTCTATTCAGAATATACAAAGGCATTGCACTTTCAACCATATGTACAGGAGGAAGTATGGTGATGGATATAGAGCAAGCCAATTGAAGAGAAACATCTTATGGCTGTTACTCCAGGTTCAGCAGATTACTCCATAGTCCAGCAGATTCTGGACTATTTTAGAACTCTTACATGTAAGAATGTAAGAGTTCTAAAATTTCTATTCAGAAGAACTTCCTGACTGTGAGAGCCGTTCAGCAGTGGAACTCTCTGCCCCGGAGTGTGGTGGAGGCTCCTTCTTTGGAGGCTTTTAAACAGAGTCTGGATGGCCATCTGTCAGGGGTGATTTGAATGCAATATTCCTGCTTCTTGGCAGGGGGTTGGACTGGATGGCCCATGAGGTCTCTTCCAACTCTTTAATTCTATGATTCTATGAATGTAAGAGTTCTTTCATGGTGAAACTCTAATCCTAACCCTGAACCATACCGTAAACCTAAGCCTAACCCCTTATCCTACCCCAAACTTTACCCTATCCCTTACGCTAACTCTAAACCTTACCTAACCCTAACCTTGCCCTAAACTTCACCTCCTTTCTATCCTTCCTTCGCTCTCCCCCCCCCCCCCCCCCCCCCCGCCTGCTCTCTTCCCTTATTCACATAACAATGCAATAAAGCTTAAGCTGGAAAAGACCCAAGATTCCATTTTACCTATTTTAGAGATTTGTCAGGCTACAATAGGTAAGTAAGGTAAAGCGCAGCTGCCTCCCAACCTAGATTTTAAAATTCTCCATGTAAAGTCTCACAGCGCCGAAAAGGAGGCCTGGCCCTTTAACAGGAGAAGGCTCACTGGAGCCGTAAAGCGTGGAGGCGTCGCAAAAATCACCATGAGGCAGGCCAAGAATGGAAGGTGAGCGGGGGGAGCAGAAGGGGAGGGGCACGTCCGAGTCGCTGCCCCTCCTCCTCCTCCTCGGCCCAGCCCTCTTATCGGGTGCGGAGTTTCCCCGGTCCACCCCAGGCATGTTGACCGCGGCTTGGCTGTCGAGAGGCAGCTCCGGCGGCTGGGGGCTCCTGAGGAACGCGAGCCCGGGAAGGTCCTTGCGGGCCACCGTCGCCGCTGCAGTTGCTGGAGCCTCCGTGGCAGGGTTGGGAGGCGCGCGCCGCAGGGACCCTCGAGCCGCGCTCGCGGCCTCCTCGCTGAGCGGCCTCGCGCCCCCCTCCTCCTCCTCCTCCTCTCCGCTAGTGCGCCTGCGCCGGAGGAGCTCGGCGCCGTTGCTCGCCTCCACTACCTTGGTTCCCTCTTGTTGCCGCTGCTCTCGCTCCGACGGCGCTCCGCCTGGGTCTTCCGAGCATGGAGCCCCCGGCAGGCCCGAACTGGTAAGCTGGCTCCTTGGCTCGGCAGTTCATGGAGAGCCGAGGGGCCTGGGCCGCTCAGGTTCAAGGCCTTCATGGCCCACTTTCCTTGAGACCTACCTGACAGGGTTGCTGACGTGATAAAGTGGCGCCTCCCTAGTCAATTATATTCATGGCAGAGTCCAGCCTTTTCCCACATGAACATAGAATCATAGAGTTGGAAGAGACTACATGGGCCACCCAGTCCACCCCACAGCCATGCAGGAGAAGCACCATCAAAACATCCCCGCCAGATGGCCATCCAGCCTCTGTGTCAAAGCCTCCTAGGAAGGAGCTTCCGTAATAGTATGATAGCTGAGTCTGGAAGCGCCAAGCCTTATGGAGATGCCGCATCGCTCCTTCAGGAGCAGAGTTTGCGGAAGAGAGACTTAGCTAATGTAAGCCAGGCCAGAGACAGATAAGGAATGGAAAAGTTCTTGAATGGTGAAACCCTAACCTTGAACCATATCGTAAGCCTAACCCCTTACCCTAACCCTTACGCTAACCCAAATCCTAAACCTTACCCTAAACCGTACTCTAACCATTACCCAAACCCTAAACTTTGCCCTAACCCTTACCCTAAGTGTCCCTTGATTTCTATCCTTCCTTCGCTCTCCCCACTCTCACTCCGCCCCCTCTCTTCCCTTTTTCACAGCCACCTTTGTGGCCTCTCCGGAACGCTTGGCACTTCCGGACCCAGCTATCATACCATCACCGGAGCTTCCACCACACTCTGAGGCAGAGAGTTCATTGTTGAGCCGCTCTTACAGTCAGGAAGTTCTTCCTTATGTTAAGATGGAACCTCCTTTTCTGTCCTTTGAAGCCATTGCTCCCCTTCCTAGTTTTCAGAGTAGAAAAAAACAAGTCTGCTCCTTCTTCCTTATGACACCCTTTCACTGACCGACTTGACTATTTCACAGCTCTTACAGTCAGGAAATTATTCCCAGTGTTCAGGTGGAATCTCATTTCCTGTCTATTTGTTTTTGAGTCCTAGTTTCCAGAGCAGCAGAAAACAAGCCTGCTCTCTCTTCCTTGTGACATCCTTTTATACATGGCTATTATGTCTCCTCTCAACCTTCTCTTCTGTGGGCTTAGAAAATGGAAGGAAGTACAGCTGTAGCCTTTTCCTTGGGTGTATCTATCAACACTGTGGAACGAATGCAGTGTTTAATACCATGTCATAGATATATTATTTATCATTGAAAAATAACATATTCTACACACTTTTCAATTTTTTTCTGGGAGGGAATGGCTTTGGGGGAAAATAAGGAAAATCCCCCCCCCCCCCACACACACACATTTTCTGTTGTTTTTTTCTTCCAGGCCTTCCTATCTCTAGTTAAGACTTGAGATATTCATTGAAAAACCTTAGCAAAATGTGCTGCAGAATAAAACCTTTTCACTGTTTTTATGATAGAACCAATTAGGAAATGATCTTTATCACCCAGATACACAAATCATGTTACACAGTATTATCCATTTTATTTATTACCTGCTTCTCCTGATGGCTCAAGGTGGGGAACAACAAAATCAAAACACATGAACATAAAATATGTTCAAAAAGTACATACATAAAACATGAATTATATAACTTGCCCCAAACAGAGATGCAGAATTGACATATAGCAGTAGTAGAATGTAAATCAAAACTCAAGACTGAAAGTTGACTCAGTAGGCCTGCCACAGAGATGGGTCTCCAATTGGATTTCAGCCTCTTCTGGCAAAAGTGATAGTACCTCCCCAAACTACAATTCCCAGGATTCAATAACAATACACAGCCTTAATTGGCATGCAAAAAAAAAAAAGGAATATACCAGAAGAGGAAGTCACAGATAAAAAGGAAAGCATGAATGAGAGTTACTGATCCCAAAAATAAAATTTGCAATAATCAAACAAAATAATGCACCAGAGTTGTTCAGAAGATAAGGAATTTTATAACACACTTGCCATTGAGAACACTGTGAAAAAAATGGAACTCCTGTATTTCATCTTTATATTATTATATTTAGGGCATACAAACAAAAGAATGGTGAAGTGTTTCAACAAAACTCAAGTCACAAGAATAAACCCTTTTAGAATGTTCCACTTTTTAAATATCTCCCATCCAAAAGAGCTGAAGGCAACACATTTCATCTTGCAGCCGCCAAAGCTCTCGTTTGGGTTGGATTAAACAAAATGCAAAGATAAACTTGCATGGGATTAATGTTGTGGTCAGGGAACAAGTTGTCATTGCCACAATTCCCAGGATTCCATGTCATTGAGCCATTCCAGTTCAAGTGGTGTCAGACTGCACTCATTCTGCCAGCAATGGTTCCCAACCTTTGGTCCTCCAGGTATTTTGGATTTCAGATCCTGCAATTCCTAACAGTTGGTAAGATGGCTGGGATTTCTAGGAGCTGGTCCAAAACATCCGGAGGACCAAAGGTTGGGAACCACTGTTCTACACTGTAGGTGCAGCTACTACCCTCAGTACTACCTACATAGAAGCAATCGTCAGTTCAGTAGCTTCCTCTTTCTTAGGCTCACTTCTCACACACTTGAGAGACTAAGAATCAACTTCCCTTCTTGGTCTAAGATTCATCAGGGCTGCTACCTGTTATCTTCCTGTAAACAACCTAATCCTACCTGTGCTGGAAAAAGCTTCCCATGTGAGCCTGCCAGGTTGCCCAGCAGAGGCTGGGGTTGGTGCCAAGCTGCTGGGAATAAGCATTTGATACGGAGCTAAGCCATTGCAAAAACCCTAAATCTCCCATCTGATCTTAGAAGCTAAGCAGGGCAGCCCTGATTCATACTCCCAATTAATGCCAGGCACTGTTGACTACAATTCAGAGGAAGGGACTCTCAGAATCTCTTCTGAGGATTCCTTAAATAAAGAAACTATGAAATCTGTGCGGTTGCCACTTGAAAGGATAGGTGCACACACACATATGGTACTGATCCATTGGAGGAGCACATTCCGATTGCTCCATAGCCATGCAAGGTAGTTGTGCCTTGTATTGCAAATATGAGGCTATCTAGCAAAATTACTTTATAACTTTTCTAGCCTCAGAAGTTGCTGCACAATCTTCTGTTTCTTATATATGTATATATATATATATATACACACACATACATACACATACATACATACATACATACATACAGGTGGCTCATGTGAGTAGTTGGTTACAGTTGTTAGCCAACTCCTGTGATTTTAGATGGATCAGCTGGATGAAGTAGAATAGTGGAAATGCACTGCGGCCAGCAGTTGATGACATACAGCTTTATTCAACAGGTTCTTTGGAAGCTGCTGTGTCTAAATACATTCTTCATTCAGGGGCTGCATTTAAGTACAGTGTTGGCTTAAATGTGAATGAGCAATTATTGGCCTGGGTCCAATTACAACATTTAACAAAATTTGAAAAAAAAATCTGTTCCTGGTTTGAAAGTGTTATTTGCTGTTTAATTGTACAGTCTTTACTTTGAAAGTAGTTTTTATACTCTACAAACTTGATTTTTGTGGCTTCCACAAACTATGTTGAATTGGTTGAGACTCAATAAGATATCCATTAAAAAACTATAGCAAAATGTGCTGCAGGATCTCCCACAAAAACTGTTTTTGCAGTTTAATAAACTTTTGCCATGTTTTTATGATAGAATCAATTAGGAAATGACATTTATAAGCCAGGAACAAAATTCATGGTACATAGTGTTATTAGTTCCAACTATACTGACATATTGAATCAGTGGCACTTACAACATTGACATCATGTACTATTTGATGCAGTGGGTCTGCTTAGTGAAGATTTACGCTATTGGTGAATATATGATGTAGTGTAGATTTGCACACTTGTCAGGATTGTTTATTCACATGTTTAACTATTTTCAAAGTGAAGTAATATGCTGGCATATATGAACACCTCTCTGGCTTGGTATTTATATAGTGGTTTCCTAAGATTGTTGTATGTGATCTAAGAGATGCAGAATGTTCTTGATGTTCAAAACCTGCTGTTCCCATTATCCTTCAACCTTGGCCAGATGGCTTGTTTTGTAAGAACTGTCTTCAATCCTGGCCCTTTTTAAAAGAGACTCTGTTCTGCATGTTTAACATCATATAACAACGATTTTTCAAACACAGAACTGGACTTGTGGTCATTTTGGCTTCCCCTCCATATTTGACAGTCTGAAAACGCCCTGTGTTGGAGCTGTTCTAGAGATTCTGTACCTCTGACATCAGGGTCAAGTGTAATTTCCGGCACGAAATTAGAGATATATTTTTCAGCCTTATTTCTTTGACCAGGTTGGTCTTAAACGCTATGTGTGAAATATATCAGGAAAATTTGTAAATTGGAACAGCACGTATTAACATTAACACTGCACTTAAACAAGGTTTTAGAATTATTTGAAAGTGCATTTCAATATAGCAGGGTGCTTTTGCTACCTAAGATTGCAAGTGACACTCTTTTATTTTGAAATGAGGACCTACTTAGAGGTACTGTGCATTCTGGAAACTCCACACTCACTTTTCATTTTATTGTCAAGGTATATTGAGTTGAGATTGTGAGCACTTGGTTTTGAATATAACTAATTTCCTATTGTTTTTGCATTTTTCAGTATGAAAATCCCTGGACAATTCCCAATTTACTTTCAATGGCGAGGATTGGCTTGTCACCAGTTTTGGGTTACTTGATAGTTGAGGAAAATTTTAATATTGCATTGGGCGTGTTTGCTCTGGCTGGCGTAACAGATCTGGTAGGTATTTTATAAGACCATTTGAAATATATGTTGGTTTTTCAAGGATGTCTTTTAACAGTACAGTTAGGTTTTTCTAAGAACAGATACCTTATATACTCATGTCTAAGTCTAGAAATTTTAGTCAAAAATTGACCCCAAAAAACTGGATCAACTTATCTACAGGTCAATGTGAGTATTGTACCGTAATTCGTATCAAAATTAAGTAAAACGGTGAAGGCAAAAACTTAGTCCATCCCTGGAGGACCTAAAATAATCACCAATCATTTCTGTTCTCTTCACCATGGTGCTCCTTTTGGTTTTTTGATAGTCTGGGCAGGGAAATGGCAGCAGCAGCCAGGGCAGCTGGCCATCTGAGGTAATATTAGTGCTTTCCCTCCTTTGAGAATTGTTAGTAGACTTGGGTCATACCAAAATCCATAATTTTGTCCCCAAGACCACTTACATATGAGGTTGACTTCTGCATTAGTATATGCAGGATCTGTATATTCAGTTGTAATTCACTGTTGTTGAATATAAGGAGGATTTTAAACAAAACATTGTAATGTATAATCTCCAGCAACAGCTCCCCCTCGCCCCACCATGCCAGCCATGTACCTCTTTAGATACTGTAGGGGACTAAAGAGATTTCACTCTGAACACCAGCTCATTCCCCATTTTTCTTTTCTGACAGGCATTCAATATTCCCTGAATGTTGAGCTTATTCAATCTAGGGTATTTTTCTATTCATACAAATATCAGGGTTCCTCAGCACATATTAATGATTATTTCTTCAATCTCTTTGGCCCCATTTTGCTTCCAGTTCTATTAGTGCTCAACATCTTATTTTGTTGTTGGAAAAATAAATCTTTAAAGTACTTACATTATGGCAGTCAGATTGAATGTATACTTGTCTCACTGAATTTCTTAATTCAGCATATGCTTGCATTCTTTGAAAATTTAGTTATGTTCAAAATAGATACACAATACTTCATTTCATTATAAAATCTGTGAAGATAGGATTGTAAATTATCTGTGCATGAAGGACTCTTCAACTTCTCTTCGTCAGCCCGTAGCAAACATCTTTTGAAAGTGAGCAGACTTTCAAAAAAGCAGCTTGGGATGTGGCATAAAAATCTGTTGCTCAAAGGAGAAAAAATGTCACTGGGAAAATCAAACCCTCGGGCACATTTAGATAATCTTTGTGGATCCTAGTCAGTAAGGGTCAAGAGCTTGGAAATGTGTGCTTTTATTTTCTACCTGACTATGTAATATATTGTTTTCAGCTCGATGGCTTTATTGCACGAAACTGGGCCAACCAGAAATCTGCTCTGGGGAGTGCTCTGGACCCCCTGGCAGATAAAATTCTTATCAGTATCCTTTACATTAGCCTGACCTATGCAGATCTTATTCCAGGTAAGCATGGTAACGATTTTTCAAATGTTTATTATTTAATAACTTCTGAAATGGCATTCCTATTGTATAATAATTAGGTAGTATGTCTCAACAAACTCCGCAGGTATTACAATATTTCTGTATGGACACATGAAGGCCTTCTGCTATTGCAGAGATTTCTATCCTGTCTGCCTGAAATGTAATTCGAGCGATTTACAAATGTTAAAATAATGAAAATAACAAATGTTTTGACCACCAGCTATAACAATTCTGTGCTGTTGATTACTTACTTCTAGTTAGGAAGCTAGTTTCTGAGTCTAAAGGTTGAGAAGGGGGGATTAAGATACACTAATCGTGACCCCCCCCCCCCCCGGTGACTGCCCCCGGTGGCGCAGTGGGTTAAAGCACTGAGCTGCTGAGCTTGTTGATCGAAAGGTCGCAGGTTCGATTCCGGGGAGCTGCGTGAGCTTCCGCTGTCAGCCCTAGCTTCTGCCAACCTAGCAGTTCGAAAACATGCAAATGTGAGTAGATCAATAGGTACCGCTCCGGCGGGAAGGTAACGGCGCTCCATGCAGTCATGCCGGCCACATGACCTTGGCGGTGTCTACGGACAACGCTGGCTCTTCGGCTTAGAAATGGAGATGAGCACCACACCCCAGAGTCAGACATGACTGGACTTAATGTCAGGGGACTACCTTTACCTTTAATCGTGACCCACATTAGCTGTTGAATATGACTGTATGCTTTCTTTGCATCAGAAGAAAAACTCTAGTCTTGTCTAACAGACACTATATATTGAGGTAATAAATATGTAGGCATCAAGCCCACTCAAATTTAGAACAAATGGAAAGAAATTTCAAAGGAAGTTTTCCTCTATCAGTTATTTGGTTCTTGGACGCTGTATATGCAGGCACATGAATATGAATTCTTCTTCTTCTACATGTAGATGTTTGTATGTAAAAATATAATTTCATTTTGTTTCAGTTCCTCTTACATCTATGATCATTTTGAGGGACATTGCATTAATTGCTGCTGTTTTTTACGTACGATACAGAACTCTTCCTCCACCAGTAAGTATACAGATGGATATATGATTTCTCAGATCACATCCATCTCTTCTCATGTGTGATGTAAAAATATTTGGCAATGTCAAAACTAAACCTAAAATTGGCAGTTTATTACAAAGTGGTTGAGAGCTTAGGGCAGTATCAATGAGAGTTACTGATGGTTGTAAAATTAGGGTGTAGATGGGATCTTATGCCTGTTCAGTTGTTAGACCACAGCGCACATCAGTTCCTATTAACTAGCATGGTCAGTGCATAGTGGTCAAGAAATTTTGTCTAGCAGCATATGGAAGGTTGCAGATTACCCATCTCTGAATTAGGCGGTAGTAGATAAATACATCTGTCTTTTGATGCGCTTACTTAATTTTAAAATGACTTACCACTTTTCAGCCTGCTACAGCTTCTTGGGGCAATGCACAAAGAATCAAACATTTTTGAATAAGAACTTTTAAAAATGATTTTAAAAATTCACGTACAGACATCCTACACAATTGCTATTGTCTCCAAGACAATTCTGTCTTTAAAAAACAAATGCCATACAATACAATATAGTACAATCCTGGCTGTTCTATTGGAGGCCCAGGATGAAGCAAAATTGAGTTCAGACAGCTCCAAAACAAGTGGTACTACAGACAAAGATCCTGCCTTATGTACTCAACAACTTTGTCTGTCAAGGAGTTAGAATACAACCCTTTCTAAAATTCAAAAATGTAGCCTTCAAAATTGTCAATTCTTTTGCTTTCCTCTTGTATTTCCAACACATTCCTTCCTGCAATCGTTGCACCCAGCATTCTGAGTCTCCCTGACATTACTTTGTCATTTCTCCCTCACTGTCCCATATGCTTTTAACTGTGTATGGCCACTTCTCAGTTTCCCCATCTCTCCACAAAACTCACCTGTTCAGGGCACTTTTGGAACAGCTTAGCTCAAATTCCCCTGTTCTGTCTTTCCTAAGACTGATGCCTTCTAGAGATGATAGGAACAACAGCCTGTATAATTCCTCACCTTTGGCATTCTCCTTTGGGGCTGTTGGAGCTGCAGGCCAGCACATCTGGAAGGTAGCACATTGGAGAAGCTGCCCTGTTGGAACTACTGAAGTAATTGCAAACATTAATCTTTCACCTGTCTTCGTTTCCCATTCCTCTGCTGCTATCCTGTATTTACTTTTTGATTATCAAGTCCCTTAAAGCCTAGATGTTCTATACCTCTTTTGTAAAGCACTGTATGCATAAATGGCATTGTATGTCTGAATATATTATAATTGTGCAGAGGAAGAATGAACATATTGACTGTATCAATGTATTAATTTGGCTTGATTAGCATGCATGCTATGTAGAATTACTTTTCAAATGCATGAGACACACCAATCTTTTCATCTTTTTCAGAGAACACTTAGTAGATACTTCAATCCATGTTATGCCACTGCACAGTTGAAACCAACATTCATCAGCAAGGTAAAAATATTTGTCCATCTTTATATGTGTGTGTGGATGAATTATTAAAATATAAATACAAGAGGTTGGGGGGGATAATGATAAGAAAGTTAAACAAAGGGCAAAGAAATGCAGAAGATATGAATATGGGTTATACATGTGTGTAAATATCAGATTATTATAAAGCCCAAAATATATTTTCTCTGAGCTGATGTGGTTAATGTACATGTTCATATATATATATAGAGAGAGAGAGAAAGAGAGAGACCCGTTTCTACCACAAATGGGTGTCGTTGGGGCCACTCTGCCTACTTTCTCCTTTCTTCAAATTTAAGAAGTAGTTTCCATGGCAGCAGTCTGCCAATAGTAAACAGGCTTCCTTCATTTCCCTCATACACCTTTCCCCCCCTTCCCTTTCCCCCCTCATACAAATGGTATCTAGCAGCAGCCAAGCTTTTGCAGTGACATCACAAAGGGCCCCTTCATCTAGCCACAACCAATCGTTCACCTAGCCACAGCCAATCCACTTTTATCCTTTTCTCCCCCAGGCTCAGGGCCTGAAAAATATGATTCTTTTAGTTCAACCCTCTCAATTATTTTAAATTGAGCAATTAAGGGTATGTGCATCAAGTTTGGTCCACATCCATCTAGCCATGTAGGAATCCTTGTGGTATAAAGGGACTAACCAACCAATATACATAAATATATTGACTTTTACATATATAGTTACCATTACTGTCAAGATCAGCCTTCCTCATCATGGTTTTAGATTAAGCTTCTCATAAGGACGCTCCAGCGTGTCAGATTATTTAGGTAATGCTATTGGAATCCACATTATTTTTGATAGTACAAATTTGAATAAGGCTAACTTATACCATACAACTAAGCACTTTTTCCCATTGATTTCAGTGGTGCAAAATAATAATATTGTGTGACTTCATTTTCACTTAAATCTTTCACTAGGTGAATACAGTCACACAGCTTGTTTTAGTGGCAGCTTCTTTAGCAGCTCCAGTTTTCAATTATATGGACAGTGTGTATCTTCAGACATTATGGTATGTAAACCTTATGTTATTTGTGATACTACTAATTTGTGAGAAAATGGTTCAGGAAAAATGTGGCAAATGTATAATAGAGGAGCGAGTAATTTAGAGATTTTAAATCCTCAGGTTGCTTAAATGATAATACAAGAAATTGGGATACAGCTGACTCTTCATATTTGCCAGTTTGGCATTCASACATTTGATTATTTGTCGGTTTGCCACCTCTCTCCTGAGGGCCAAGGCTACTGCTTTTACTTCGGGGGGAGGGGGGGAGCACTAGTGATTGCCATATTTGCATCTAGAGATACTTGGKTTTTTTCCCATTTTAGTGGTGTTCCTGTGCCTCTAACATCTATGAATATGGAGGGGCGATTGTTGYATGCAACCAGTCTAAAATCTAAACAGTTCAAWGCAGTTATGTTTGAGATGGTTTGTAGGCCAGTCTTGTGCATGGTTTATGAGAATAAATCCCACTTAGTGCGTTTGGTGAGAACAAGGGAGATTGCCTTTACAGTGGCTGTTCTGATTTTGCAACTCCCTCCYAAGAGAAACCAGGATTTACAGTAGGATTACAATAATGTGTGTTCTGTGTATTGTCAAAGGCTTTCATRGCCGAAATCTGTTGTGAGGTCTGTCAACAGACCTTGATGCCTGCCATAGATGCAGATGAAACATCAGGAGAGAATGCTTCTAGAACATGGCCATATAGCCTGAAAAACCTACAACAACCCAATGTGTGTTCTATGAATGTCTGTAGCATTTTATTCTGACATGATGGGTGTGATCCTGCACCAGGAGAGTTTGCAGGGCTGTTGCAAGAAATGCAAACAAAGCAATGTATATGCAGCACTCTGAACATTTGAAAGATCAAATGAATGAAGAAAATTATGGGGAAAGTGCAGTAGAGTATCTGCTTTGTGTATAAAAGATTATCGATTTTGCTCTGAGCAGGACTAATTTAAAAGGACCTTGGGAAGCAGGACCTTTGGTAGTAGGAAAAGTTAGTCTAATGAACACACTGATTATAGGGAATATTCATTTAATCACACTTCATCTTTAATAGATTTTATTTCCAGTTTCCAGGCAGCCTAATGTGAGTTGCTGTGACAGAAATGCATCATCATCATCATAAGCAGGGTTCTTATTTGTATTGGTGCTTTAGATTCAACTTGAACTTATCTTTTGCTTAGGACTAATATAATCTCCTCTTCCCTGAAGGTGTATCACAGCTGTCACAACCACAGCATCTGCATACAGTTACTATCATTACGGGCGAAAAACAGTTCATGTGCTAAACAACAAATGAAGTCTTGCAGAGCAACTGCTCACCTTCCAGTCGGTTAATATTGGGAATGTTAACTGCACCATTTTGGACTACAACTATGGAGAAAGAACTATTCTTTTGATAACCTTGCCTCAGCAAAACCACATCTTCACAGTGACGTTAAAATGAAGTTTGGATCATGTAAATACAGAAGACTTTTCAATGCGATTTTTCAATTTGTTACAAATAAAGTATAATTTTTTTACCGTAATGTACTTACACACATGTGAAGATCCTTGCCTGGTATTGTATGTTTCTGTTCACTGCTTTTCAGAAATTTGCACATTTTTTAAAAAGCATTCAGGGTTGTTGCATTACACCCTTGATGGATCTGAACAAAAACAGATCTGAAGGCTAATTAAGGAGCACTTGGCACAAGCAAAGTCCAGCTGAGTTTCATTGTATTCAGCATGTGATCCAGTCAGAGCGAATAGATTAAGTCAGGGTCCATTCTTTAAGATTATCTTTTGGCACAGTGTAAAGATGCACAAAGTAGAGCCCTTAGCATATTACTTTGAATATCACAATCTTCTGTAAACTTAAAGTAGAGCTTATTTTTAAATTGCAGCTGATCATTGCTGGGGCCATTCAAAATGAAACATTGAGCACTTCCATAGTCTGATCCTCAGACTTGCAGTGCTCTTTTGTAAACATTCAAGAAAAGGCAGTCGCAATTGTTCCAATCCATGATATATCACGATATTATTGGGTAAACATGCTAACAGATCTTGAGAATCAAATCCCTGATGTAACAAAGTAACTATAAGCCTTTGTGGTAGGCCAAGTTTTAATGTGCAGAATTCTTAAATGTATTGGTAAAGGGAAATAATCTGGTATAGCTTGGTGACTAATAACACCACTGTGAATTAGGATATGTCAATTTTGAATTTCAGATTTTTGTAAGATCTTGCTAGGTACACTCAGTCAGCCTTAGTCTTCCAAAAACCACCTGGGAAGAATAGTGACTTGACTTATAAGGGTTAAAAACATGGATGAAGCATTTTAAACAATATATTGCCTAAACGTCAAGCATTGTTGCCTTATCAATATGGAGATGTGTTTGTTCTAAGACGTTTAAATTCCAAATCCTGTGCACAGGTGGATTTTTAGGCTTGCGCTGATGTCCTTTTTTAGTTGTCTTTGTGTCTCTGAACACCTTTCAGATAAAGTGCTGACTGTGCTTTCCTCTCAGACATTAAGAGTTACCTATTACTGAATATTGTATTAAGTCACAACAATACAAGGAAAAACAATGCTTTTGGTTGCTAAAAGTGTTGCAAGAAATAGTGGGATTTTTGGAGATGACATATGGCCAGTGACACATTGATTTGTAAGAAAGCTGTTGCCAGGAAAGATTTTAACAGGGCGAATTAAATTTAATAATCAGAGAATACAAATTTAATCCCAGGGATTGTACTGAAAAATAGGATCATTGATTTTTCTAGTTTCTGTAGTTCATTAGGCAGTCACATCAAATATAGGAAGCAGATAGGCTAGTTTTTTGGTCTTATTTGTGCCACTCTCAAGAACTGTGGAGATCACTTTTTGAATGTCTTATTTAAAAATTGAACAAATTGTGCATGGCAACTATCAGGGGCCAGTGTGTAGGCATGTAGGATGTTTTGCATGTGACAAGTGAGTTACTGAACTGTGTAGGGATTCATCTACATGATTTTGTGCATGTTGCGTTATGCTGCTACCTCCCCAAAAATGAAGGCTTGTGGAATCGAATTGAGGGAATTGACGTTATCTCAGTGTATAGGAACAATTAATATATTTTTTTATATTTAAACTTGTATAAACTTTATAAAGTGTGTATTGAAAACACTGTTGTTTGATAGCTCTATGCAAATCCTGGATGCTGCAGAATTGTGCTGCAGTATAAAAAACAGTTTTCATTTAATAAAAACCTGTGAAAAGGGCTCCCCTCATCTCCCACTTTCAATTTTTCACTGCAAAATAAAGCATGGTAATGAAGCCACTCAGGAATGGTCTTTCAATTGGACAAGGATAAATGTTGTACATTTAAACACGTAAAAGAATTTAAAAGGACTGTAGCCTTCAACACCATCTATATACTTAATAAAAGTGAAAATATGTATGTATATGTGTGGCTGGGATACCCTTTTCCACAGACAGGCTCCTGCTTACACAAACAGCTTTAACCCACAGTGCTGAAGAGTCACCAAAAGGATGATATTTCAGGTTATAGCAAGCGCTATGAACATGTAGTCCAACCCCTACCAAACACCATACTGTCCACCACCCAAGGAATAATTTAATTTGGGGACAATTTCATCCTAGATTTTGCATGCTTCCTCCACCACAGACATCGCAGTGTTTCTTACTCTCTCCATTGGTGTGGAATTTGCATGATCCCGCCGAATGCCTCTCCCTTAACCCTTTCCTACTCTTTTCAACTCTGTCTGCACAACAGACAGAGCTCAACTATTCAACAGAACGTACTGGAGGAGTTTGGAGGATGGATTCCACATGATGGAAGTTGTAGTTCACCCTGCATCAAGTCAGAGCACTGTGACCCCCACTGACAATGGACCTGGGCCACATTTGACACACACAACTCCCATGACCAAAGAAAAATACTGGAGAGGTTTGGAGGGACTTCACCTTGATTTATAGCCATTGTAGGTACTGAGATTTATAGTTCACCTACAATCAAAGAGCACTGTGGACACTACCAATGATGGTCCTAGACCCAACTTAGCACACAGAACTCCCATGACCAACAAAAAATCCGGGAGGGCTTTGGGGAAAATTCATCTTGATGTATAGGAATTATATAGTTCACCTACATCTACAGAGCATGGTGAACGCAAACAACAATGCATCTACACCAAATCTGGCATGCAGACCCAATATTTGAATACTGGTGGATTTGGGGTGAAATTGGCCTTAACATTTGTTAGTTGTAGGTACTGGGATTTATAGTTCACCTGCAATCAAAGAGCACTGCAAACACCACCGATGATGGACTTGGACCTAACTTGGCACACAACCCCCATGACCAACTGAACATACTGGAGGTATTTAATGGGAGTAACCTATCAAGATGGGAGTTAAAATTCATCCTGCATCTGGCGAGCATACTGAACCCCACCAATGATGCATCTAGAGCAGATTTGCCCAACATGACAAACTTCTAAGTTTTGATGTAGTTTCGGGGAGTTGATCTGGCATGATGTGAGTTGTAGTACACCCACAACCTTATGCATTTTCTAAAAAAAAACTACCCAAGCTAGTATCATAATAAATGGCAGTCTTTTAACACACTAGACTTCTCTTTATTCATTGTTGGTTTTAAACAATCTAACGTATTCTTTTTTAGGCGGTTTTGCTTATTTAAGAACACTCGGAACCCCACTCATGCAAACAGTTTACCTTTGTAGTTTAAAAATGTAGTTGTTACAATGTGCCTGTAAATATATACACAAATTTGTTTGTTCAAGCAACATTTTAGAGTTCAACAGGAACACTTAGAAATATTAAATAATGGCATTTTGCATCCAAAAATATTATGGTTAATAACATTTGATACTTATTGCATATTAAAATGTCTCTATTCAGAGGAAAATCATTAAAGAATAGTTAAGAGTTCCACACTTCCTTCTTTGCTGCCATACATGGCATGGCTTCCCTATTCCCTTGAATAGGGAAAATAATTTCCTTCCTGTGTGTTCTTGAAGGGTTTCATAGCCAGAATCACTTGGTTGCTGTGGGTTTTCCCACACTGTATGGCCATGTTCCATGATCTCTTGACATTTCACCCAAATCTATGGCAGGCATCCTCTGAGGATGCCTGCCATAGATGTGGGTGAAACATCAGGAGAGAATGCTTCTGGAACATAGCCACACAGCCCGGAAAACTCACAGCAACCCAATTTACTTTCTTTTAGCTGCTTTTGAAGATGAAATAAAACACTAAGCCAGTCATCCATTTCATCTGTTAATGCCTTTAGCATTTGAAAATACCAATGGTAGCCAAAGCAGTTTTCTCCACTATGACAATACTGTGTCAATAATCACTGTGCAGTTATTCTGCTCGCACTATTACAGTCATTGGTATACTGGTATAATTGGTTTTAAACAAGACTTTGCATCAAAGACTTGGCTGGAATATATCAGTCATACTACCCTTTGCTGTTGATCTCTTCTGGTCCTGCTCGAAGGCATTTCTTCATTTTCCCCCATTTGTTAAATTCCTTCACATTGTCTGAAGCTGATATAATCTAGGACCTTTTTTTAAGAAATAGCCCTGATCATTTAAAGAACTGATGAAATTTTCAAAATCAGTCACCTGTAAAATACAACAGAAGCATTACCTAAATAAAAGAAATATTGTTCATGAAATATATATTTTAAAACCTTTCCCTGGGAAATATTTTAAACTTTGAATATATCTAAAGAGAATCATTTTATCCCAATTTTCAGTGTATGTGCAATAAAATACTACAGAAAGAAATGGCCAGACTGCTAGATGTAGTATGGGTCTGCCCAAAGAAAAAATGTCTCATAATACCATGTAACACAATTTCTGTTCCTGGGTTATAAATGTCATTTCCTAATTGGTTCCATCATTAAAATATGGAAAAAATTTATTAAACTGCAAAAACTTGGTTTTGCAAGCCATTCCACAGCACATTTTATTATAGTTTTTCAATAAATATCTCATAGAGTCTTAACCAATTCAAAAGTTTGTGGCAGCCACAAAAAACCAAGTTTCTGGCGTATAACAATTACTTTCAAAGTAAGTACCACACAATTAAACAGGAAATAACACTTTCAAACCAGGAACAGTTTTTTTCACATTTTGTTACATTGTATAAGAAACAAGGTTTCATATTCAGGTGTAAAATGATGAATCAATAAATTTCCAAATTGATACGACAAAAGTCAAAGATGCAGCAATATGATTCAATTTCCAATTTCTAGAAGTAAAGTGCCCAAAGTTACTCAAGTGATGACACCAACAGCTAATTTCATCCTTCCCAAATATGTGTTGTTTTTAATTTGTCTTACTTTTATGTTTACTTCCTTTGCAATCTGCCGAAGCTGTTGAAACTCAAAGAGGTTGTTGTAGGTTCTTTCTGCAATGCCATGGAGGGCCGAAACAAATCTCTTTGCTTGTGACCTGTTGCTCATTCCTGAACCGTGTTGAGAGCGCTCAAAATCCAGCTTCCCAAACTCATCAGAATAAGTCCCCAGCATGCTTAAGGAAGAAAAATTGAAAACACAGTCAATAATATTGAATGAAAAACTGCAAACCAGGCAGGGGACTGTATTTCAAACATAATGCTGGTAGCACTTGGTCATACTGGTTTTAAGGCTCCATTTTTTAAAACAAGACTGCAGTATGTAACTCCAAGAATGGTATCTGCAATTTCATAAAAGGGCATAATAGCAGCTTTATACATGGCAGAAGCTAATACATAGCACAGTAAGCTCTGTCGACATCAAAGGTCAATATTTAATCAGGGCTGGGGTAGGAAGAATGGAAAAGACTGAAGAGTAATTTTCAGCAACTATGGAATCCACAAGGATCAGGATGCACAAAATATAGGACACCAAATTCAACTAAATCAATGGGAAAATGGAATAAAAAAATCAAATATACCTACTCTTGAAAGCTTAAAGAAAACTTACTCAAAATGATACATAGATGGTATATAACCCCTCAACAAATTTCACAATGTTACAAAAATGTATCTAATAAATGCTGGAAGTGCGACAAACAAGCAGGTACATTTTTCCATACCTGGTGGAACTGCCCTAAAGCTAAAGACTTTTGGAATACTATACAAAAAGACATTCAAATGATTTTTAAAATACAAATTTAAAAAGAACCAGAATACTTTCTGTTAGGGATGTACAACTTTGAAGGAGACAAAAACAAAGATATATTATTTATGTATTTAACTATGGCAGCTGGAATTGTATTTGCAAAGAAGTGGCGAATGAAAGAAACACCTCAAAGGGAAGAGTGGCAAAACAAAATTTTGGAGATAATGAGTATGGACAAACTTACATATTGGTTAGCATTAAATCAAGGAACACCAAAGAAACAGACAAATTGGGACCCAGTAAAAGACTACTTTAGACAATAGAAAACAGAGATTATTACATAAAAAAGTAAACCATAATTGAAGAAATACCGGGGAACAAAAACATCCCGATAACACAGAAAAAGATGTGAAAGACGAACAAAGACTAGATAGAAGTCAACATCCAATTTTTTTAATTTCTTTTTTTTAAAAACATTTTTATCCCCTGGGGGGGGGGGGGGGGCTCCCTCTCACACACCAATTTTTTAATTTTAATTTTTTCCTACTATTCTTTTATCTATAAAATGTTCTCCTACTTTCGATGTAAACACTATATCTTCCTTTTATTCTTTGGAAACCTTATTAATAAAAATATTTCCCAAAAAAAGGATCAGGATGCAGTGACCATGTGGGAATCACATATTATCCTCAGTTGCTACCAACTATAATAATTGGCTCATCTGCATGAAAAAACACAGTGCCTAACTACCATTCCAAACCAGCATCACTGATGTGCATACGCATCATGCAGCAGATAAGCACATTCATTCTTGTGGAGGAGACAGCTACACATGCCTAACAAGTCTGTGTGGGGATCACGGAAGCAAATGTAAAAAACACCTGCTTTTACAGAACTCAACATGTGCATTAGCACCCCACAGATTTTTGCCTTGCTTTAGTTATGATTGATCAAGGACAGACATGGAGAAATTGTGGCAATGCCCACGGCTATTTTGTGGCCCACATGAGAGTCACATCCTGAATAGATGTGGGTGAAACTTCAGGAGAGAATGCGTCTGGAACATGACCATACAGTTGAAAATTGCCACAACCCCTGTAGACACACAGGAAGGGCAATGTCATCTTTGAAATCTCATCAGTTGTTTCGTTGCAAGACTTAACTGTTTTCCAAACCAGTGGTGATTCAGAACTTGTTCTGAATAAAAGGCATCTTCTGGACCTAAAACAAGCAGGAGGAGTGCAAAAATATTGCAAATCTGGTCTCAGAACTGTTGTTGGATTCATGGGGCATTTAAAGTTTTTGAACATGTAAAAACAAATAAATAAAAGGGTAGGGGTGTGTGCAAAGAAAGCATCACAGGTTTCTAAATCACACTAAGGAATGTACATACTCCCTAGATCTCAAGTAATTACAATCTGGAATGCAATTACCTGTATTTCATTATTTCCACAACATCCTCAGCATCTTCTTTGGTAGCCTTTTCTCTTAATTCTAATCTCGATCGTGCCTTAAACAAAAACAGAATTAAAGTTACAGTAATGTTATGTAACAAAACTCACCTATTTTTCTTTCATTCCCACATGCACCGAATTTTACCACAAAAAAAACTGGGAAAACTTATTGACTCGAGTATAAGACGAGGATGAAAAATCCAGCCATTACTGGTAAATTTCAAAAAGAAAAATAGATACCAATAAAATTACATTAATTGAGGCATCAGTAGGTTAAATGTTTTTGAATATTTAATATTTTGAATATTAAAATTGTAATTTAAGATAAGACTGTCCAACTCTGATTACCTATATACTCGAGTATAAGCTGACCCAAATATAAGACAACCAAGACCCTCACGCGAGTATAAGCCAAGGGGGGCTTTTTCAGCCCTAAAAAGGGGCTGAAATTTCAGCTTATACTCGAGTATATATGGTACTCAACCACAATCCCCTGGAATCCTAGGGGTCTATGGGAAGTCATTAAAGGTTCCTAGAGATCATGACTGGAAAACAGAACTATCTTCACATTGTATGATAATAATTTTCAACCTGGATATTATTTCAAGGATTTCTCCAAGGGAAAAAAAGGACAAGAAAGGCTGCTCTAAAAGACACAGAGGAGAAGATCTGCTGTAATCTACCATTTGAGCTTTGGGATATTTCATCCTGGTTACTGAATTCCGTGAAATTAGTTGTTTCTTTTAAAAGGTTCTGCCAATGCACTTGCTGAACTGTATTAATGAAATAATAATTGCTAAATTAAATGCTAAAATGGCCTATGTATTATCTTGCTAATGACTGGAGTGAAGGCATGAAGACTAGGTGGAAGAAGCTATAGCTAAGTAGGAAGTCATAATTTTCATACACAAACCATCTCAACGGAAAAAAGGCTTTTCAGCTAAGTGCTAGGTTAGGCATAAGTGGTTTGACAGAGTTTTCAGAGCAACTTCATAGGATCTGTTTGCACAATCTTCTCCACCCATCATGCTCACATTAAAATCCACTAATTTCTCTGCAATCATTCATCATTGCCAAACTCCTGCCTAGCAAATAAAATGGAAAAAAAGGTACCTCTGTAAGACGTATTAATGATTCTAGTTGCCGGGTGGTGATGGGAGTACCATCTGCTCGTTGACTTTGCTGTCGGAGCTCAAGGTAGAAATGCTGGAGGACCTGAGCAGCTTCTGGGGAGAGCCTGGGCTGCACATACTGCCGGGCATAACCAACGTACTTTCTGAGCAGCTGGTGCGGAATGGGGTCAAAGCTTTCTCCAGGAATGACCTAACAACAAAAGCATAGTTGAAGACTTTCAAGGCCAGAATCACTTGGATGCTGTGTGGTTTCCAGGGTGTATGACCATGTTCCACCAGCATTTTCTCCTGACATTTTGCCAGCATCTGTAGCTGGCTAGATCCTCTGAAGATGCCAGCCACAGATGCAGGTGAAACATCAGGGGAAAATGCTGCTAAAACATGGTCATACAGCCGAGAAACCACACAACACCCCAATAAAAGCATAGTTTGGGTGTTAGAAGGTTTCATTTGGCTGACCTGCACAAGAAGACTATCATATATGGACTGCAGTAGTCACCATGTTAGAACTGAAAGTCCTAGGCTGAACTCTGATCACATTCACACTAATTCTCCTAGCTCAGAGTTATTACATCCTTGTTGGCATCCATTCTTTTAACACTGAACAAAAAAACCTAAAAAGAACTACCATATATATTCAGGTATAAATTCAAAAACCCCTCTAAAAACTGAGTTGATTTATACACTGTTCCATGTAAGTACCCTTCTCTGGTGTAATTCAAATTCAGGGTGGTTTTTTTTTTTTGGTTTTTTTTTTGTTTTGTTTTTGAATGATTGGATAGAAAAACAGCTGCTTCCTTGCTGTGGCGGAGAGAATAGAGGGGCTCGGTGTTTCTTTTGGGTCCTCCCAGGATGGACTAATCAGCTTCCTTTGTGAGCTGTTCAGAGCAGTTTATACATGAGTAAGGAAGTGCAAAATCACTTTTCACGATCCTTTGCCAAGCTGCCTCCTGGTGATACTGCTACTGTTCCCTCCTTGACTAGCAAGGCCCTATGCTTACTCTCCTATTCCAGCTCCTTCTCTGGCTCTGGTGGCAGCGGAACATCCCTCTCCTCAAGCTCCAGGTGGCACAATGGCCTCTAGGGCCTTCACTGCCACGATTATGTTGTCCCGTAATGGCCAACCTTCAAGTTCACTGGAGCTATCACGCCACCCGAGAAGCAGAGAAGAGGAGCTAAATCACAGGGCCCAAACAGCCAAGGAAGGAACAGTCACAGTGACAGTAACAGATGAGACAGGAGGCAGTCTGAGTAAAAGGGGGACGGGCTGGCTGATGGTGACCTCCCACTTGCTTACTCACAAGTAAATTGCCCCCTCCCTATTGTGAGCAGCTCAGATGGGGACTTAGTCCAAGCTGAGAAAAAAGCAGCTGTAAAAACACAAATCATATATAACGAATACTTAGCATTCTACCAAGCCATTTTTGAACATCTGGCCTAAAGGCAGAATATAATACACTTTATTTAATACACTTTATTTATAACCCGCCACCATCTCCCCAAAGGGGACTCGGGGCGGCTAACATGAGGCCAAGCCCAAAATAATACAGAATAATAAACACACAATAACAAATACATCATAACAAAATATGAAATAACAAAATCAACAATATAGAACAGCATAGTAAAACCAGACACAGAGGGCGGGCCTATGCTTGAGGTATGAGGTAAAATGTTATAAGGTTAAAAGTTGCTATCTGGTTACATGCATCAGGTAGACTTATACAGAAGTGGTGCTTTCCGCAAATGACCCTTGACATATCCATGGGTCATATCAAAATCCATAATTTTGAATGCAAAATTTGCTGTCTGGTTACATGCATCAGGTAGATTTATACATGAGTGTGGATGGTAAACAACAAAGGCAAAAACAAAAAAGAACAAACAACACGCACAAGAGAACAGCAGATGGCAAGAAAAGGATATTTAATAGTTGGGCAGGGAAAACATATTGGGAAGAAGGAAAAGAAATAGAAAAACGACAACTGATGGAAAATAAAAGAAAGCTGATGATAAATAGGAAACTAAAGACTTGTGATATCAAGATGTTTCAGAGTGATGCCAAAAAGCATCCCTTGTAGGCCACATCCAGCCCCTGTAAACAGGGGCTGGATGGCCATCTGTCAGGGGTGATTTGAATGCAATATTCCTGCTTCTTGGCAGGGGGTTGGACTGGATGGCCCATGAGGTCTCTTCCAACTCTTTGATTCTATGATTCTAAGATTCTAAGGAGGAAAGCATGTAAAAATAAATAAATATCTACCTTGACTCTCATTTTGGGAGAAATGTTTGGGGGGGGGGGGGGAGAAAAATCAATAAAGAAGTAACAGCAAAAAAATAAGATGGTAACTAATTTTAGACTCCTCACACAAGACTAGCCATGAGAGATTATTAGGAGATAAGGGGAGCTCTGTGCTGCATGCTAAGTCGCCTCTCTTCTGGATTTCTTTTTAGAATGAAAGTGAAATAGTGCCAAAGCGTATCCTTTTCAAAGCACCCTGCATTAATTTTACAGTGATATGAGATAATATTGAGAGAGAAAAACTTGAACATAATATGCTACCTTTAATCTCTCCGATAATGGTTTGTCTGAAACTGCTTCAAGGAGCGATCTATTTGAATTCTGGGAATTTGGGCGAGTCACCACAGCACTGCTGCATCCAGACTGTTTTCCACCTCTCATTGCCATCACATGTTCAGAAAGCAAATGGTCATGATCTTCATTTGGAATATCCAGAAGTATGAACACCAAGTCAAACCGGGACAAGAGAGCACTCCCCATTCTACATATGGGGAAAAACAGGACAGATATAATATCGGTGTGCATCCAAGAATTGAGCACAACAAATCTTTCTGCAAGCAAGGCATACCCAAAAGCACAGTTATAACAAACACTTCACACACCAAATTTGGGGTTTTTTTTAAGCTTTTAACACACATTACAAAACAATGTAATTTCTTAATTAAAAATTCTCCACCCCTGCAAACTAAACGACAAGCATTTACTAGGAACTTACTTTAAATTCTCCGACACAGTTTTGGCTTTATTATAGTGTCCTCCAACGGGGTTTGCTGCAGCTATAATGGATGTCCTCGCCGGCAAGCTGCAAACAATGCCAGCCTTAGCAAGACTGATACTCTGCTGCTCCATAGCTTCCAACAAGGCTTGGTGCTGGCTCCCCATCTTATCAAACTCATCTATTCCACAAATACCTAAAACAAATTTGCAAAAATGGAAAATGATTTGGCAGAGATGTCCCCCCAGTGCACTCACAATAAACAAATGAAAGGTGTCAAATGAAGGGTTTTTAGGAGGACATACAAAAACAGACTTTTGAATTGGAACTCATAGGCACACAGCCATCCTGACTAATTAAAGCTGCCAGAGGAAGACTCGTCAACTGGATGGTGGAGGTTGTAAATAATAATGAATAATATTGCACTTTATTTATATTAATGTCTTTCTTTTAAAACAGATAGCGGAGAGAGCTCCTCTAAGAGCTTGTTGTGATGGTTTTTAGAGAGAAACAAATTATCTGGGATCTCGATCTGAGGAAAGGGGTTATGCCTATTAATCGTCTAAATCCATCTCATAATCCAGTCAGCCCTTCACATTTGTGAGTTTCACTTGCAAATTTGAATATTTGTGGGTTTGATTAATATAATACACATTTTATTTATATTCCCCCCTTCTCCCCTAGGGGACTCAGAGTGGATTACAGAATTTACATACATAGATGAACATTCAACACCTTTACAATAATATACAATGAGATACACAAACACAAACAAAGGCAGAAGATTCTCCTTTCATTTCCGGCTTCTGGAGGTGGTGCTCATCTCAGGCTCTGGGGAAGCGCTTTCTCAATTTTCAAGCCAGGAGCCTGCGTTCACCTCCTGGTCATGTGGGGCAGCAAGATTGCTTGGAGAGGCTCTTTGACTTTTCCCGTCGAAGCAGTACCTATTTATCTACTCATATTCTCATGTTTTTGAACTGCTAGGCAGGAGCTAGGGCTAACAGTTCAGCCTGTCCCGCAGATTCGAACTGCCAACCTTCAACAGTTCAACAGCACAAGGGTTTAACCCATTGTGCCACCACAGCACAAATCTGTTGTGCAGTGTGGCCTCTGCAGAAAGTGCTTCAGCTGTACTTCATAAAAAGGAAAATCAGCTTGTTTAGCAACCCTTACAAATGCTAGTATATTGTCAATAAATGTTTTATTGTATACCTATTTTATATATCTACATATCCAGGATCACATAAAAATTTATTCATTCAAAGGGGGTCTTGAATGAAAAGGTTTAAGAGGCCCTGATATACGAGTCCCTAAACTGCTGCAAACCAGGATATCTGAGAGATTCCTCCCATACAAGTCTGCCAGAAATTTGAGATCTTCAGAGGAAGCCCTATTGCGTGTCCCAATATCTCATGAGATTAGATTGGTGCATACATGTAACAGTGCTTTCTCTGTAGTGGCACCTCAACAGTGGGACTCCTTCCTCAAGGAAGTAGACTTGGCCCATCTCTTTAAAACTCCCAACAGCCCAAACAGTGCATTCAATGCTTGATAGTGCTGGTTTAAGCGTTTCAAAACCAAATATTGGATTGTTTCAGATTGCTTTTAGGAGTTTTAAAAGAGCATTTTAATGTATTATAAAATGTTTTCTTCTCCGTATTATTTCAATTGGTTTTCATTTATTCATTATCCTGGAAGCCTTTGGGAGATGAAGGCTAACACAGAAATACTATAAATAAATAAATATTCTTATCTCTGGCAATCAGAACATATTTTTATATTTTAAAAATGGCTTTAAAATCGCTTTGTTTTTTCAGAACCAAATAGTGCCCAGAATTTAACATTCAGCTGGAAAATTACCTAGAAAAACCTGTTCTAAATGACTTAAGTCAAAAAGTTCCACACACACACAACAATAGCCAACCCCGTATCTCTTAAACAAATATTTATATATGCTTATCAGTTTAAAAGCATGCTTCTGAAGAAGAACACTCTGTTCTGTGCCTATTTTTGCTAATTAATAAGCGACCCTTAAATCTTCCTTATCCAGGTAAAAGTACATCAATATAGTACCTTGATCTCCAAGCACCAGGGCACCAGCTTCCAAAGAAAAATCACCAGATGAACTGTCTCTGGACAGAGTTACTGTCAGGCCTGATGTAGTAGTGGCATTGCCACATACATATACACCACGAGGTGCAATGTTGCACACAGCCTAATGAAACAACAGAAAATGACACACAAAATTAACCGTTCTACTAAAAAAAACTAGAATGCCAAATAAATTTTATATGACATTTTCTTATGTTGAGATTAATATATATCAAGTGCTGCAGTACACTTTAAAAATAACTTTGAAGTTCAGCAAAAAAAGAAGCTTCCTGCATTATTAAATGGACTCATACTTGCAACATCTGGCTCTTGCCCAGTCCTGGATCTCCAACCACCAGGAGATGCGGGTCTCCTCGAATGGGAATCCTGTTCTTATCATCCACATACTTCTGACATCCTCCAAACAATGCCAGTACTAAACCAGCTTTCACGATCTGTAAAATGAAAGTGACATACAAAGGATTGGATTATGTCACAATGTTTATTTACAGTATCTATATTCCGCCCTTCTCACCCCGCAGGGGACTCAGGGCGGATTACAATGTACACATATATGGCAAACATTCAATGCCAAAGACACACAACAGATACAAACAGTCAGAGGCTATGTAACTTCTTCTGGCCGCCAGGGGAGCTGTCGCTTTCATCGTCCATCTGCGAAACTGATGAAGTACTTCCGCATTCCCTGCATGCTTTTGTTGGAATGCTTTGCTGGAGGCTTTTTTATGGCCTCGTAAATTTTGTTAAATTAGCCTCCCCACACATAGGTGGTACCTAATTTTCCTACTTGACAGATGCAACTGTCTTTCGGGTTGCAAAGGTTGACAACAAGCTACACAATTGGTCCTAAGCTCACTCCGACCCGGGCTGGCTTCGAACTCATGACCTTGTGGTCAGAAGTGATCTTAATGCAGCTGACACTCAGACAGCTGCGCCACAGTCCCACCACAATGGCAGCATGTCATCCAGATTTCCTTGAAAGGAAGCCAGGAATCCTAGCTTTCAAGAAAAAGGATGAAAATACAAAGGGTAGGAAGCAGGAAAGGAGATTCCACCTGAACATTAGTAAGATCTTCCTGACAGTAAGCAGTGGAACTCTCTGCCTCGGAGTCCGGTGGAATCTCCTTCCTTGAAGGCTTTTAAACAGAGTCTGAATGGACATCTGTCATGGGTGCTTTGATTGTCCTTTTCCTGCATGGCAAGGGGTTGGACTAGATGGCCCATGTGGTCACTTCCAACTTTATTATTCTAGAATTCTAGGATTCTAAGGGAACAAAATGCTGAGGGCCTCACTGGTTTGCTTCCATGAAGTTAATTTATAGAAGACAGAACAGCAATCTCCAAATTCCCTCCAAAATATTGACAAAATCTCTAAGACTAGCATAAAATCCAAAAAGTTTATTTTTCTCCCATTTATTTCACTCTCCCAACCCCCTTTGAAATAGTTAATAATGGCCAATATTAATTAGTACCCTGCAGATCATTATGCATTTCCATAATTGGCTTCAAAAAAGGCCTAGATCATACTGTATGAATAAACATTTTGCTTTTAATGTTAAGAAATCAAGCAAGGTCAGGGGAATACAAAAATAACAGAAGTCCAAATCCTACACAGTACTATTACATATCCCCGTATTGCTGCTAACCAGTCAATCAGTCAACGGATATAATATAGTTAATTCAGAAACAAAGCATTTCAAATGCATCTTTGTACTTTCCAGGGCTAGGCTTTAGAACAGCAGGTTAACCGACAGCTGCAGTAAAGCTTGCTCATCGAAAGGTTGACAGTTTGAATTCCGGGTTGGGGTGAGCTCCTGGCCTTTAGCCCAGCTTCTGTCTACCTAGCAGTTCGAAAGCAAATGTAAGTAGATAAATAGGGGTGGTATTTAAGGCACCCATAAGGAAATGCCAGAAAAATGCTGGCAATTCGATCAAAGAGGAAGTTTACGAACAAAGCTCTTTGGCAGGGAAGATGGAGCGACAGCATCCCCCCACCCCCACGGCAGGAACCGAGCACAAGCCTCCAATATGCTGAAGAGGGGAAAAGCCTATATATATCTCTATCTATGTATAGTTGTCTGTCTTGTCAGTTTATAATGGCATTGAATGTTTGCCATATATGTGTTCTGTGATCCGCCCTGAGTCCCCTTTGGGGTGTGAAGGGCGGAATACAAACACTGTAAATAAATAAATAAATAAATAAATAAATACATTTTCCAGAAAAGCGTTTCAAACACAGGTTTCAGTTTCTCTCTGGGATGTCCTTACCTCATGACCATAGATCGTTGGACAGAGAGAGCTAGTGAAAGAAAAATATTGAAATACAATGTTAATCCCTAGTTTTTGCTCAAGTAACACACATTCTGTACTATTAAACTGAAATTTGAAGCTATGTGCCATGAAAAACTCCCCATAGAATCCTAGTCTGGTTTTTTTTCATTTCACACTTGCTCATTATCATTATTATATTTATACCCTATTTTTATCTCTTGATCAAGACATAAAATGACTCACAGCATTAAATTTAATTTAAAATGCATAGCATACAAATATTAAAATAACAACAACAATTCTACTACCACTACTATATACATCTATAGTCCACCTTTCTTCTCCCAGTAATAAGACACAAGGTACCTAACAACATGCTTATAATCAACACAGATTAAAAAATTATGCAACACTTTGATAAAGAAAGTATATAAAAAGCTATTTTAAAGCAATTAAACAATGTGTAAAGTTATAACATTAAATATAAAAGACATTAAAACTAATTAAAAGACCATACAAACCATAAAACTGCACAGGAGATCACTGAAAGCCCAAATAAGAAAATGATATCTAAAAAATAATACTGATTTCTTTTTAGATGCTAAACTTTATCTGCATTGCCTCCTTGTTTCCTTTTAAGGAATGATTAAGGCTTGCTCATAGCTCTGCTCATAATCTTGATAGCAAAAATAAAGTTAGCAGAACTACAGGTCACATAACTATTACTCCCTTATTGAAAATATCAACATGTAATTTCTAAATACCGGTAATCCAAAGCCATAAAACACAACTAGCACCATAGACCTGACAAAGTTAAAGACTTTCAATTTAAAATATTAAATGGCTTCCGCTGAGATCTGAGTGACCAATTTTTGTTGCCGTTAACTGTTTAACAGTAAGCTGGCTTTATGGACATTTATAGTGACATATTAGTGGCACAACGATGACTCAATCTTGTTATCTTTCCAATGGCAGCATTAGATGTCTAAAGCTAATTCACACTGTCAATTTGACAATATTTTGGATTACAAGGCTCACAGAATGAACATTTTTAATTCTGGCTCAAAACCCAGAGCAATCCGTTTGTTATCCTTCACTTGGTGCTCACCCATCCCCTCCCAGATAAGGGAAATAGAAAACATATTGTTCTAATTCAGTATTCCAGGTGAAACTGGGGTCACAAGTAAGATTTAAAAGGAAAACCCTTCAAAACAAAAGCCTGTTCTTGTGCTCTTGCATCTGCAAATACCATAGCTATGGCCAAGATGGCACTGCCTACAGTCTTTGTGAAGTCATAAAAGGCAAGGATGACATCCTGCCCTACCCCTTGAGGGTTTCCTAGGAGACCAGGTGCCATTCAAGTAGCACAAAAGGGGCATGATTCCTGTCTAGGATCGATCCTATACAGCCCCCAGCCTTAGTTTGAGGACACCTGGTCTAAGAAAACAAGCTATTTTTCAACCAACTTAGAGAAGCTCCATTTCTGATGTAAGTGATCTACTCTAAAGTTTTTTTGAGGTCACTTTTACCACCTTAATGATTATGAATAACCAATGTGGATGAGAAGGGTCAGTCTGACAAAGGAATTCATGAAGGCTATTTTTTAAGGACAGAAAATACTCTCTGTTGTGAGCATCAAGAAAATGCTCTCTAGGGGGCACTGCTGATATGTTCAAAATATAGTGTTGGTCACAAGGCATAAAGAAACTACAACCTCTCACATTTATTACCAGCTTAAACTCTATACACCTTAAGAATTACAGTGGTTGCTTTTTATTCTTTCCTTGTGAAACCTTCTAAGTCTGTGCAAGGAAGAAAAGATGAATCTGATACTAAGATTTATGGTCATTACCAAAAGGCAAGAGAGATAGGGACATAAAATTGAAAAGGAAGGATTCACTTGTGGTGGAGATAAATAGCATTTGCAGGACACAACAAAAAAGGTCTACAAATGCATTTGTTTTTATTTAGAGGCGGAACACACAATGAAATGTGTCAAGCCTTTAAATATGGGTTCAAAGCAATTTTGAACACATTCTACCAGAAAGTTCAGGTACTGTATGTATTGTGATGCTTCCACATTTCATATAGAAAACTCCCCTTTAATCACACTTTGAGGCATGCAAAGAACTTACATGTATATCTAATCATGTACTTGGGTTTAGGATTCAATCACAATTGATTACATCACTAACGTGGCCCTGCTTTTAAAACCAATTAACAATTTGGATTTTTTTCCTCTCAGGAGCAATTTGAGAAACTGCAAGCCACTTCTGGATTAATAATGTAGGATGCTGAAACCCATATGCAAGAAGAAAAAAAAAAACCATACTTGACAATGAGCTTGAACAAGTCCTCTTCAGCTTGTATCTCCTGGACTGCATACAGATCTTTAAGTGAAAATTCCATGCAGGATTGATTATTTATGCCATGCTCATAGTTCTTGGCCTTCTGTCCTTTGGTATTACTGATAGAGTTTGCTTCGATGTACAACAAGAAGACACATTTATCATTTTTATTTCTAGATGCACCTGTTAAATGAACAAAACAGGCAATATGATAATGTCTCTATATGGTGATATAATTTACATGGATTAGGGTAAATGTGAATTTAATTTTAAATATTGGTCAAATATATAACATGGGTTTTTTTTAAAAAAAAAACAACAACCAGATTATTCATCTCTAGGGAGTAAAGTTAAACTTTTAAAATTAATGTGCTTATTTTTAAAGATACATACTGTATTTCATCATATAAGTCACCCCCTCTTTTTTGGGGGGGGGGGGAAATGTTATTCCAGTTATGGGGCTTCACTTGACTAGCGGGACTTTTTCCACTGCTTAATAGATGCCTTTTTTTCAGTAAAAAACAAAAAGATTAAAAATGAGACCATTATGCGGTAAAATACAGTAGTCCATACTACTTGCATCAATGTAGGAAATGGTACATAGAAGCTTGTTCACATTGGATAAATAGACCGCCAATGTGGTATAGAAGTTTGAGCACTGAACTATGACACTGAAGGACCCCCAATTTAGCCAAGGAAACCCGATGGATATTGTAGCAAGGCACACACTCTCAGCATCAGAGAAGGCAAGGCAAACCTGCTCTGAAAACTCTTGCCATAGAGTCCTGTGATGGAACTGTATAAATCCAAGCTCCTTTTGTTAGGCGGCCTCAGCCACAGTTTTAGAATAATAATAATAATAATCTTTATTTATACCCCGCCACCATCTCCCCGCTGGGGACTCGGGGCGGCTTACATGAGGCCAAGCCCAGACAACAAATTACAGCAGAATAAAACTGAAAACGCGAACAATAAACAACAACATCATAATTACATAACACATATGAATACACAACAATATAAAATTACAATAAACGCAATCACGATGACACTTTTCTATTAGTTTTACGAATGTGGAACTGTGTGGGGACACACAGGTTGAGAACCACTGCTCCATATGTTGTTGAAGTGTAACTCCAAACTGCAACTCCCCACCATTGATTATGTTCACTAAGGCTGCTGGGATTTGTAGGGCAACAACATCTCAAGGGTTGCATGAACCCTCTATCTCAGTGGTTCTCAACCTGTAGGTCCCCAGGAATTTTGGCCTACAACTCTCAGAAATCCCAGCCAGTTTACCAGCTGTTAGGATTTCTGGGAGTTGAAGGCCAAAACATTTGGGCAGCCACAGATTGAGAACCATTGATCCATCTGAGCAGATCTAGCTTTTACTTGAGGGAATAACCCTGCGTCTTAAATGGACTGTGAGCGGAGACTTATCATTGATTGTGCAGGCAATAAAATAAAATAAAATCTCACACATAGAAATTAGTAACTGCTTCAGCTATTTCTGCACTAAACAATAATCACAGATATAGTCATAGATGTTACTATGTTTTAGGCTGGTATCTTGTACCAGCATCTTTAACAGTTTGGTTTAAGTAGCCCCCCAAAAGAAACAATTGGATAAATATGCAAAAATATGAGCCTTGAAGAACTATGAATAGATATCCCGCACCTTCTTCCGTGTTGGCTACTTTGACAATTCCTGCAACGGTAATGACATCGCCTGGGACGCAGCTGTCCACTAGATCCTGAGTCAGCTCACATTCAATAGTGCGAGGAATTCTACCAGCCTCTCGTTGATCATCTGACATAAGCTCTTGAATCCTAGAACATATAGTATAATACTTTCATTTTCACAACACAACAATAATCAACATTTATATTCTTTGTCTGTTACCTCCTCTATCCCAATTCCATGCCTAGCAGCATATTTTTAAAATTGCTACATACACTTGAAATGAAATACATCTTACAAAATACACATAGAAAACTACACTTTAAAGTAACAAACAAACAAACATAAGAAACAGCACAAAATACACTATTAAAATGTATATGAAAAAAGAATGCATAAAGAATGTCAGTTCCAGCTATATTTGCTGTGGTTATGTAGTACAATGGTTCGATCGTATCCATGGGTTTAGATTCAAGAACCTGCCACAAGTAATAAATTCATTATTGTTGATTTATGGAACGAGGAGGAAAAGTACATGGAATTTATGAATGGGAAATATTTTCTTTCAATACAACTTCATCTTTTAAAAAGACATTACAGTTTAAAGATGTAGTGATTTAAAAAAATCAGGAAAAATCTGTGTTTTTATTTAAGGCAAAGATTACCGTATCTGAAAAAAAATCTTAAAATACTCATGAAATATATTCAAGATTTTAAAGAAGATGACACTAAAAGTACTTACTTAATAGACTGCCAATCCACTGTAATGGTATAAGGAGAACCTCTATCTGCAGTGAATGATCGTCCATGGCATTCAGGGAGAGGACACTGAAAAAAACCTCCACATATTAAAATTTAGCAGAAAAATAAATCCATATTGCAGCATCTGAGTTCCCACAAAATTGTGTTGTTGAAGGTTTTCATGGCCGGAATCACTGGGTTGCTGTGAGTTTTCTGGGCTGTATGGCCATGTTCCACTCTCTCTTGACATTTTGCCCACATCTATGGCAGGCATCCTCAGGTTGTAAGATCTGTTGGAAACTAGTAAAGTGGGGTTTATATATCTGTGGAACGTCCAGGGTGGGGGAAAGGCCTCTTGCATGTTGGAGGCAAGTGTGAATGTTGTAATTGGCCGCCTTGATAAGCATATATTGGCCTTGCAGCTTCAAAGCCTGGCTGCTTCTTGCCTGGGGGATCCTTTGTTGGGAGGTGTTTCCTGTATGGAATTCTCCTGAGTGTTGTTCTTTATTTACTTGTCCTGATTTTGGAGTTTTTTAAAATACTGGTAGCCAGTTCATTTTGAACGTCAGGAAAGAATGGTTCTGGAATGTGGTCATACAGCTTGGAAAACTCACAACAATCCAACAAAACTGTTTGCATGAATGTTTCCTTCCCTTCAAACATTTTTTTTCATATCAATATTTCTTTATCATCATTCAGTAAAATATCAAAAAGTTTATGAACTAGAAGGCACAGTAAGTTTGTTTCAGAAGTCTAACCTTCTTTACCTAATATCCCAGTCTGCTTCAAAACTTACTAGCATTGTTTGAAGTCTGTCTAATAATTTAAAAAATGGCTTCAAAAAGACTTAAAATGATGTGTTACCTTTGTAGGGAGAGTATACTTTCCATCTGGCAGAGGAAAGCTTTGAGTATTTCCACAGGTGCTGCATATAAATGCCATCTTGGTACAAATGGGCTTGATATTACTGACACGAACAACCGTCCCACGCAAAGCGATATATTTTCCATAGCAATTAGCTCGAATATTCTTAAGTTGCGTAAGCGGGTCATAGTTGTACACTCTAAAAATCATCACCATAAAAAAGAAACATCAGGTATAGTCTATTATTCTATGTTCCTCGTTCAGAGAAATCAGTAATTGTAAAACAAGGATGAGAAATACGAGATCATCCAAATATTGGAAACTCCAATTAGCCCTAGACAGCATAGCCAATAATAGGAAAGGCTCATTTGCAATCGAACAGCATTTAGAGGGGCATGGAGCTCTAGGTAAAGGTAAAGGTTTCCTCTTGACATTAAGTCTAGTCAAGCCAAACTCTGGGGGGATGTGCTTACATACATATATATGCAAGTATATATATGTGCATGCATTACTGGTAAAGGTAAAGGTTTCCCCTTGACATTAAGTCTAGTACTGTCCGATTCTGGGGGGTGCTGCTCATCTCCATTTCTAAGCTGAAGAGCCAGCATTGTCCATAGACACCTCCTCATGTGGCTGTCATGACTGAATTGAGTGCCGTTACCTTCCCGTTGAAGCGGTACCTATTGATGTACTCACATTTACATGTTTTCAAACTGCTAGGTTGGCAGAACCTAGGGAAAACAATGGATCTGAACTGCCAACCTTCCGGTCAGCAAGTTCTGCAGCCAGTTTAACCCGCTTTGCCACCTCTAGTCCTGTGCAAAAACCCACTTGTGCTATGCATATTACTTGAGACTTTCTTCTGAGTAAACATACATAGATAGGCTGGACCTCTATAGAAGTGGGGATCAATAAGACTTTAAGGAAATCATCACAAACTTCCATCATTGATTTCTATGGGACTTGAACATAAATTCGATTTTCAGTCTTGAAAGAAAACATTTGAAATAATAGCTACCTTGCATTAATATAAGGTACATTTATTATAGGCTCTTCATCAATGGGCAGCCCTTCTTCCTTCTGGAGTTCTGCTGCATGCTTTTCAAGATCTTTGCTTAACACCTAGAGAATAATAAATAGAGGCAAATGTATGCCCAAGAAAATCTCCACAATTCATCATTTATATAAGAATAAATAGTGCTGCCTTTAGAAATTAAAGTCTGCATACTATTGAGAGTCCCATCTATAGCAGACTTGGGGTGCATCTACAATGAGCAATCAATGCAGTTTGACACCACTTTAACTACTCTGGTTCAATGCTATGGAATCCTGGGAGGTGTAGTTTTGACAAGGTTTTTTATCATTCTCTGCCAAAGAGTGCTGGTTACTCCAAAATTAGAAAACATTTCCTAATTGTGACACTTTGCATGATGTCACAATGAGACTTCTGTTCCTTTAAGAGTTTTGTTTAAGTCAAGTAAGTTTATTTACCAGCTTTCATTGTTAAATATACATAGAACTGAATTACAACAAACAGTTCTCTCTTGCACATGTAAAGTTAAACATGGTCCCAGCGGGGTTGAAGGACGGGAAGTGGGTGACCATGATGTCCGCCTGCAGGAAAGGCAAAAGAAGGGAAGGGGTGTCGTGGCTCAGCAAATGGCAGGGAATTTTTCTGATGTTTCAGAGGATGAGGGAATTGATGGGTTTCAAAGTGAAGCGTCTGCTAGTGGCCAGAGAGAATGGCAGGCCGAGGATGCCGATGCTTGGCATTCCTGTGCTCGTTCCCAGGCAATAGAAAGTGAAGATTTCAGTTCCCTTGTGAAACAACTTTCGACCAATGGGGAGTTTTTCTGAGAAGCCAGATTAGGTCTGAGAATGGAGGGAGTGAAAAATAGACTAATTAGACATTCTAAGAGAATCCATGAGAAGTCCTTGAAGCCCAGGTGCATTTGGCATGATCTCATGGCTTTTTGGTCAGGCTTAAATTAAGGGGAGTTTACTCTGTGCTTTTCAGAGGAGACAATCATGCCATAAGAATGGCTTTCCTGTCTCGGCTCCTAAGTTCATGATTCAAGATTCCTGTTTTTGCCTATGCTCCTTGAATGATTTGCATTGGAAAAAGTTCCTTTCAGGCTTATGGATTTATGTTTGAGTTTTTATTTTGAACCCATCTGATGGAGCTATAATGAAATTGGTCTAATTTTTTGTGCATGTTTTAGCAGGTTTTTATGTTTTATGGTGTTTATTTTAATTTGTCTGTACAGTTTTCCTTTCTGGAAATTGAATGTTTTGCCTTATATGTTGGAAACTGCCCTGAGCCCCTTTGGAGAGATAAGGCGGTATACAAATAAAAATTTATTAAGACCTTCAAAACTTAAATAGAGGCCACTCCCTAAAATTCTCTTAGCTTCTTGCTCCTTTGAAATGCCATTCAAGTTACAATGCTAGTTCAGTGCTATCTTCCACTGAACTCAGTTGACCTATTCCCAAATAGTATCTACTTCATCACACTAGAGAATGAATGCACTTTAAATTCGGTTTCAACCTCCTGCAGAATTATGGGGTTTGTAGTTTAGTAAGTCTGTTAAAGGCCCCTCCCTGAACTACAAAGCCCAGAATTCTGCAGGAGGCAGAAACCAGATTTAAAATGGATTCATTCTCTAGTATGATGAGGTACATAAGGTAAGTTTGTCTTGTCAAGCACTACTACAGAAAATGTGCATGTTCTTTTCTCTTGTCTCGTTCACTTTTTTCCTCAGGCAAGTACCCAATCAGAAAAGACAAGACAACCATATAGAGAAATCTTCCCAATTCTGTTCTAATGCATACACATTTGATTTCTCGGGTTTTCTTTAAAAAGTGACAAGAACAGATTCACAGTTCCATCTTGATTTACTTGGGAGAAAGTCATGTTGAAGCCAGTAGAATGTATTTCCAGAGTATCACAGACAGTTTAGAAGCATGGATTGTATCTTTAATTCCAACCCCAGATAATACTCATCTTCCATAAATTATTTCATACTTGGAATTCTATTAATTGCAATCCGTTTAACATTTTTACCTGATGTATGGCTAGGCCCATGCAATCCAGTATTTTCTGTGGCATATCCCTTAATTCAGCAGCAATATCAGGTATTGATTCCAATACTTCTTTATCATGTATCAGCTCTTTATAATCCACAAGAATGCTTCCTTTTCTTTCTATTTCATCCTGTAAAATGAAACTGTGTAAAAAATGATTGGTCACAGCATTTCAGAAGCCTTTATCCCACTTGTACTTATTGCATTAAGCATTATGGGAAAAATAATTTCACTCCACTGCAGTATACAAAAATATGGAAAACATCATTTAAAGATGTTTGAATACATAGAAACATGTAATGTTTTAGAAATTGTTCTATTTTTTTAAAGCCTTTATAAAATGGTGTAATTGCCTCATAATGCACATGGTTTGGCTCATGGATTTGAGCCATCTGAACAGATTAAATTAATTCCTTTAACCAGGCAGAAATCTTTCGCTTATGCACTCCCCTTTTCCACTTGTGAAATGCTATGATCAGAATGAGACTAAATGAAGGCTAACACAAAATATGTAAATGGCCACTGCCATTTCTTTGCCCAAGTATTCAAAAAAGCCAGAGGTAATGCTGCACTGGTTGTCAAGCTAGCCTCAGAAAACAAAAGTATCTACAGTAGGATACCATTTTAAAAGTCTTAAAACGGCAGGCTGAGAGAAAGAGGAACTTGGGTGGGAAAGATCACAGAAAGCCTTACCTTATCATAAAGCTCTATTCGAGACATAAAAAACTTTTCAAGTGCTTCAGTCTTCTGAACAAAGGGGGAGTTGTCATCATAAACTGAATTGGGACAATTTCCACAAATTAACACATGTATTTAAAAATGTATGTCTTTTATTTGATTTTGAAAGCATGCATGTTTAAGTGAAGGGATATAAACCAAATCTGTTATTTAGGAAAATATATCCTTTTTTAAAGCCCCCAAACAGTATTTTTCAGCAGCATTAAAATAATTTCTTTAGGACTTAAAATATAATCCAGAAATCTCCTTTATTAGCAACTGTATTTCCTCAACAAAGTACATCATCATCCAAAAAATTAGATGTTTTCAATAACATTTTCGACAATACATTGTTTTCAAATACTTGCACTTGGTATTAAAATTATTGTATAAAAACACAAAGTAGATTTTTTTAAAAACCAATTAATCAAATGACAAAAATAAATTTAAATAAAATGTCCAAAGTGTATTTATATAATCTGCCTCAGATGGGATGGCTGAGATGTGGTAAAAAAGGGACAATGCACCTTTCCCCAGCTTCAAAAATAGAAAGAAGGGGAAAAATATTAGCAAGTGTTTTATAAATCCACAGTACAGAGGGCTTAGTTTTATCATGACTCAAACTGAAGAAGACAACTAAAGTATTTTCCTCTTCTTTTTAGCTATCTAGCAGGCAGGAAAGCTCACCTTCCGAGAAATACAGTTTCCAGCCTCTATAAGGAATAACTTGATCCAATGTTGTCTGAATGAGCTGAGGTTGAGCTGAAAATTATTCCCAAGAACAAAATTAGTGAAGTAACAGTTGTTTAAAAATACCTAGTTTCAAGAGGAAAACGTTACATAGTTACACTTAATTCCCAAACAGTAATAAAACTAACTGCCAGTGAAACACAGAGGGGATTTCATTAGAATTCCCCTCATTAACAGTCTATATTTCTTCACAGTGTCCCAGCCACAGTATTCAACCGTTATATTATACTCGCAGATAACACTTTTTTCGTCTTCATGTCATCTTAAAGGTAAGTCCTTTAATAATCAGGTCTCAACAGCAAACGACAATAAAACAAGTCAGCCTATGCAATTAACATACCAGACACCGGCTTTGCAGCAGCATTTTTCCAATCTCCTTTCTGTCCACGTCCTTTTCCCCTTCCTGGCCATCCTCCTCTTCCTCTCCACTTCTGAAACCCGCTTCCTCCTCGTCCAGAACCCTTCCCACTGGTTTCACCACTCATCTCTGCACTCTCAATGGATCTGTAGGTACAATTAAAATAATGGGCAATCCTTCCAATCTCTAAGCATAGTAACCATTCTTTCTTTTAAACAACACTTTTAAACAGCACTGGGATTGTGGCGCAGCTGGCTGAGTGTCAGCTGCATTAAGATCACTCTGACCAAAAGGTCATGAGTTTGAAGCCAGCCCGGGTTGGAGTGGGCTTCCAACCAATTGTGTAGCCTGTTGTCGACCCGAAAGACAGTTGCATCTGTCAAGTAGGAAAATTAGGTACCACCTTGTGTGGGGAGGTTAAATTAACTGATTTATGAGGCCATAAAAAAGACTCCAGCAAAAGCATGCGGGGAATGCAGAAGTACTTCATTAGATGAAAGCGACAGCTCCCCTGGCGGCCAGAAAAAGTTAAATAGCCTCTGTGTATGTCTGTATATGTTGTATGTCAAAATTGGCATTGAATGTTTGCCATATATGAATACACTGTAATCCGCCCTGAGTCCCCTGCGGAGTGAGAAGGGCGGAATATAAACACTGCAAATAAATAAATAAATAAATAAATTTCCAAAAGAAATGTCAACACCACCCTATTCCATTTGGAATGCCATGTACACATCATGACACTATAATTTAAGACAGATGTGAAAAAGCTGTAATGAGAATGACCAAGATAGTGAAGGGTATGGAAACCAAGCCCTATCAGGAACAGTTGAGGCAGATGGGTATACTTGAAAAGATTGAAAGTGATATGATTGTCATCTTCAGATATCTGAAAAGATGTGGAAGATAGCGCAGGCTTGCTCTTAGCCCCTTCAGAGAAAGGGTCTGATGCAATGGATTCAAGTTACAAGAAAAGGGATTCCAACTCAACAAGTCAAGTCAACTTTATTTATATCCCGTCCCATCTCCCCTTGGGGACTTGGGGCAGCTTACAACATAAACGGCAGCCATTCAATGCCATTCAGTACACATTAAAAATACAAATACATAATAAATTAAATGCAAATAATTAAAACAAAATTTTATCGTAACTAAACATGAAAACAAGTCAATAAAACACACATGACAACAGGGTTAAAACCACGACTGTCATTACCAGTACAACCAGAGATATGTCGGTATGCCATTGGAAGATGGGACTCCCAGGTCGGAAGATGGCCAAAATGCTAACAACAAGGCAGCAGGAGACGACGGGATCCCAGCTGAACTGTTTAAAATCTTAAAAGATGATGCTGTCAAGGTGATGCATGCCATATGCCAGCAAATATGGAAAACACAAGAATGGCCATCAGACTGGAAAAAATCAACTTATATCCCCATACCAAAAAAGGGAAATGCGAAAGACTGCTCAAACTTCCGTACAGTGGCCCTTATTTCACATGCCAGTAAGGTAATGCTCAAGATCCTGCAAGGAAGACTCCAGCAATACATGGAGCGAGAGTTGCCAGATGTTCAAGCTGGGTTTAGAAAAGGCAGAGGAACGAGAGACCAGATTGCCAATATCCGCTGGATAATGGAGAAAGGCAGGGAGTTTCAGAAAAACATCTATTTCTGCTTCATTGACTATTCTAAAGCCTTTGACTGTGTGGACCATAATAAATTGTGGCAAGTTCTTGGTGGGATGGGCATACCAAGCCACCTTGTCTCTCTCCTGAGGAATCTGTACAAGGACCAAGTAGCAACAGTAAGAACTGACCACGGAACAACAGACTGGTTCAAGATTGGGAAAGGCGTACGGCAAGGCTGCATCCTCTCACCCAACCTTTTTAACTTGTATGCAGAACACATCATGCGATGTGCGGGGCTTGATGAATGCAAAGCTGGGGTGAAAATTGCTGGAAGAAACATTAACAACCTCAGATATGCAGATGACACCACTCTGATGGCCGAAAGCGAGGAGGACCTGAGGAGCCTTCTAATCAAGGTGAAAGAAGAAAGCGCAAAAGCCGGGTTGCAGCTAAACATCAAAAAAACCAAGATTATGGCAACAAGAATGATTGACAACTGGAAAATAGAGGGAGAAACCGTGGAGGCCTGTGACAGACTTTGTATTTCTAGGTGCAAAGATTACTGCAGATGCAGACTGTGGCCAGGAAATCAGAAGACGCTTACTTCTTGGGAGGAGAGCAATGTCCAATCTCGATAAAATAGTAAAGAGTAGAGACATCACACTGGCAACAAAGATCCGCCTAGTCAAAGCCATGGTATTCCCTGTAGTAACCTACGGATGTGAGAGCTGGACCTTAGGGAAGGCTGAGCGAAGGAAGATAGATGCTTTTGAGCTGTGGTGTTGGAGGAAAGTTCTGAGAGTGCCTTGGACTGCGAGAAGATCCAACCAGTCCATCCTCCAGGAAAAAGCCCGACTGCTCACTGGAGGGAAGGATACTAGAGACAAAGTTGAAGTACTTTGGCCACATCATGAGGAGACAGCAAAGCCTGAGAAGACAATTATGCTGGGGAAAGTGGAAGGCAAAAGGAAGAGGGGCCGACCAAGGGCAAGATGGATGGATGGCATCCTTGAAGTGACTGGACTGACCTTGAAGGAACTGGGGGTGGTGAAGGCCGACAGGGAGCTCTGGCGTGGGCTGGTCCATGAGGTCACGATGAGTTGGAGACGACTGAACGAATGAACAGCAACAACCATTGAGAGTAGACAGGATATTTCTCGCCTTTTACATGGAAGACTGATATTAGTCAGTACTTTTCTACGTACTGATTGGTAGACGACAAGCACGCTAGGCTTGCAAGTCTGCCCTTGCCCTGCGATTGATCAACTCACCAGCAGTGATAAGCCAACGACCAGATCAGCTATCGCTTCCCTCAGTTCTCCTTCTGTTTTCATTTTGGCGCCGTATTGCCCCGTCTCCTTCCGCATCCGGCTCCCAGAACCAATCAGCAGAGGGCGCGCGCTCCCCTGTTGCCATGGTTACAGCTGGGCGGCCGAGAGCGTCACAAAGGCGAAAGTGAAAACCCTGCGAAGGCAAAGCGCATGCGCAGATATTCCACGCTTGTCTCGAGGAAGGCAAGAGACAAAAAGAATCACTAGAGGGCGCCATTTGAACTAAACTCATCATTCTTCTCGTTTATTTATATAGCATGATCAACGTCAATGGCTCTCTGGTAAAACAAACAAACAAAAAAAAACAGACTAGGTCCAGCTACTTGCAAACAATCTAACACACACATATATGCACACCCACACATGAAAGGCAAGAATAATAAATAGGAAACTATATTGGGGGGCCCTAGTTGCGCCACACATTAAACCGCTGAGCTGCTGAACTTGCTGACCAAAAGGTTGGCAGTTCAAATCAGGAGAACGGGATGAGCTCCCGCTGTTAGGTCCAGCTTCTGCCAACCTAGCAGTTTGAAAACATGCAAATGTGAGTAGATCAATAGGTACTGCTTCTGCAGGAGGGTAATGACACTCCATTCAGTCATGCTGGCCACATGCCCTTGGAGGTGTCTACGGACATGGCCGGCTCTTCGGCTTAAAAATGGAGATGAGTATCACCCTCCAGAATCAAACACAACCAGACTTAATGTCAGGGGAAACCTTTACCTCTATTATATTTTGCTCAGCTAGTCAACCAATTACAAATCCACCTATCAGTAATATTATTATTGTTATTTATTTATTTATATTCTACCCTGTATCCCCAATGGGACTTAGGGCTGATCACAGTAAACATACATGGCAATCATTCAATGTCATTTGGACAGACAGGACAGAACAGACAGAAAGGTGGCATGTTTTATTTATTTATTTGCATTATTTCTACCCCGCTCATATGTGCTCCGAGGCAACTCAGAGCGGTGTACACAATCAGCACAATTCGATGCCATAAAAATACATACATTGACAAGCAAAAGAACAGACCAGGGGCTTTGAACTAGCAACCTTTTGATTGGTAGATGTTATCCTTTCTGGTGATTTTACCAGCTGTGCTAAACCCTGGCCTGATATTATCTAGCCCATGTTTTACTAGTTTGCAAGGTCATGGGGAACTGTGTTGGAGGCCTTGCTAAAATCAAGATATGCTACATCCACAGCATTCCCTGTATCTACCAAGCTTTTAACACTATTGAAAAAAGATAGTTAGGAATTGTGGGAGTTGAAGTCCAAAACACCTGGAGAGCTGTAGTTTGTCTTTGCCTGATCTAGACACTATAGTTCTTTTGATGCAGCCCAAAATCCTATTGGCTTTTTTACTAGCTGTTAAATATATTTATTTATATTTTTATATAAAAACGAGTAAACCAAAATAAATATATTTAACAGCTATGGGAGTTGAAGTCCAAAACACCGGGAGGGAGGGCCCAAGTTTGCCTATGCCTGATCTAAATGTTATCGACCAAACCAAGACTGAGTCCTTCCTAGGACTTGAATGCTGGGGAAGGCAGAAGTCAGGGGCAACAGAAGAAACCTTGTTTCCGTTTCCGGCCGGGAGAGATGGCTCTTGCCAGCGCGCGCCGGCTTTTGTGAGGGAAGACGAGTGGGTAGCAGGTGAGAAGCCCAACCCAAAAGGAGGCGGGGTTTCTCCCGGCCGGCGCATGCGCGTGAGCAGCACTTCCTGAAACCTGCGGCTGGAGGAAAGAGAGCGAGGGCGCGTGCCAGCATGGACGGGGGCGCGAGGCGGGTGATCCGCGAGGGGGACTGGGCGGTGCTCAAGCGGAACGAGGTCTTCAAGGCGGTGCCCGTCGCCAGGAGAAGGTGGGCCAGGTTCGCTTCTCTGCCTGCAGAGGAACTCCTCTTTTTTTGACATGTCGCCAATGCATGTTGCAGCCGTGGACTCCCCATCCACGGATCCCCACATCCACGGCCTCGAATTGGCCGTCTCATATCTTAAAGGGGCACAACTGAACTCTGCCACTTTGTACAATGGGACTTGAGCATCTACCCATTTTTAGTATCCGCGGATGTTCTGGAACCAAGCTCCAGTGGATAGTGAGATCCCACTGTACAGTCACACTTGGGCTCATGG